GGGGGGGGGGGGGAAGGGGAAACAAAAGTTTGTCCCAGCATCTTCGCATCTTGGCTCGTCTGTTCGCATATGTCTGCACATGTGTACATTGCATGACTAATCCAAAGAGCCTAGACAACAAAGGTTAACTGCTGGTGGTATCCAACGAAAACTCCTCCTCCGCGCCTTTCATGACTTCTATCGTTGATGAAAATAACTTAAATTTTAATTTCAAGCGTATTGGACGACATTTGCGAAAAATGATGATTTGTAAGCCAAAGGTTGCATGCTATCAATGAACTGTAATTCGTAGCAGGATAAATTGTTACATAACAACAACGCCGGTGTATTCACGTCACAGAAACGAAAAGATCGATTGATGTCATCGATTGATAACTTAAGAACACAAGGAATTCTCTCGCCTCAAGGTTTTTGAATAAATGAGAAAATGAAACTAGTTTTCTTGCATCCTTAAGTATTATCTATGTGTTTAATTCATCCAAGGAAATAGTGGCCAATAGTTGTTTGGCCCTCGCGGCTCATAAACAGAAAGTGCAAACCCTGTACCTTTTAGAATCAACAGACTTACCGTCTCTTTTTGATCTTTTGGATGATTGTTTGGAACCCTTCGTGAGAGTTATTGCCAAGATGATTCCTACAGCGAAGATCGCTGATATTGCAATCAAAAGAATGCCGTTTCTTTTGGTGGAGCTGACCATGGTGCGATACCTGAAGGTTAAACAGATAGATTGAAAACCGATCGAGTTACAACAATATGCGTTCCATTGTACTTACAGGATATGACAGGGTACAATCTATCCTTGACCCGCGTACTGGTTACCGGCAATCGATTTCANGGGGAAACAAAAGTTTGTCCCAGCATCTTCGCATCTTCGCTCGTCTGTTCACATGTGTCTGCACGTGTGTACATTGCGTGACTAATCCAAAGAGCCTAGACTGCAGGTGGTATCCAACGAAAACTCCTCCTCCGCGTCTTTCATAACTTAAATTTTAATTTCAAGCGTATTGGACGACATGCGTGAAAAATGATGATTTGTAAGCCAAACGTTGCATGCTATCAATGAACTGTAGTTCGTAGCAGGATAAATTGTTATATAACAACAACGCCGGTGAATTCACGTCACAGAAACGAAAAGATCGATCGATGTCATCGATTGACAACTTAAGAACACAAGGAATTCTCTCGCCTCAAGGTTTTTGAATAAGTGAGAAAATGAGACTAGTTTTCTTGCACCCTTAAGTATTGTTTATGTGTTAAATTCATCCAAGGAAATAGTGGCCAATAGTTTGGCCCGCGCGGCTCATAAACAGAAAGTGCAAACACTGTACCTTTTAGAATCAACAGACTTACCGTCTCTTTTTGATCTTTTGGATGATTGCTTGGAACCCTTCGTGAGAGTTATTGCCAAGATGATTCCTACAGCGAAAATCGCTGATATTGTAATCAAAAGAATGCCGTTTCTTTTGGTGGAGCTGACCATGGTGCGATACCTGAAGATTAAACAGATAGATTGAAAACCGATCGAGTTACAACAATATGCGTTCCATTGTACTTACAGGATATGACAGGGTACAATCTATCCTTGACCCGCGTACTGGTTACCGGCAATCGATTTCAGAATTTCGATTGCAGGTTACCGTTGACCGCACAGTTGGCTCCCTTGAAAGAGAACCAATAAATGCAAAATCGCTTTTGCGTTAACGTTAGCTATTCCAATACTTGTAATGGATAGTGCAATTAAGCCTACTGCGTACTGACTGGTGTAGTTTTGTTTCATAGGATTGTCTTTGAATAAAGATATAACTTTTTGAAAATGGCACCTGCAATGTCAAAGGTTGCGCCTGCCATATTTTTAGCGCTGTAGACTTTTTGTCAACTGTTCCGATCGACGATCCTCTAGACGGGGGGTCCTAGACGATTGCGATGAACAAAGGACCTTACTTGTAAATGATCCCGTTAGTTTGTAATGGTCGCAGGGAATTCAAAGTTATTTTTATAAGTCGCAAAGTTGGCTCCCAGGTAGGTCAAGTAAGTGAACCGAAAGTCGTTATTGTTGTTGCGCTAGTGGATAGTCACCTATTCGACTAATGAACCTTTTTCCTGATGTCACGCCTTTGCGCCTTTTTTCGTGGTTCAAACAAACTAAGCCTCACCGCTCGATATATCAGCCGAATTTAGTAAATTTGTAAATTTTTATAAGGATCCGTTACAAAGTCATGAAAATATAGTACGCCAAACTCACTAATTTTTACAAAGAAACCTCCTCTCAAAAGCCTGGTGGATTAGCTGATCCTGCTGACTGTGATGACATTTGTTGGTCAGTACTGAACTCTCAAAATAATCCTGAACAATTTCGTGAATTCTTGGGTTAAAAACGAACGAAAAATATCAAAAACAGCGACCAAGGAAATTTAGGTTTCGTGCCATGATTGCCAAGATTGGGGGACTTTAAATTTTAGTTCGAGTATGAGATCGAGTACAAGAAAAGCTTTTTAATTCTAGTTTACATGCTCCACGTCACGGCACATACCTCTCTCATTCCATCAGCTATCCTCTCTAGTCTGTACCTAAAACCAACATGACTAGCGACGTTTTGCACTGGCGTCCAGTTTTCTCGCGATTCTATCCGCGCGTTCAACGATGGAATAAAAATACGAGAAAATAGAGCGAGGGCTGTGAACAGTCTATTGGAAACGTCACTGGTTTGAAAATCTAAACTGGCGCTCGACCGCACTCAATCTATAGTCTAATCTAAAGATCCGTAATACAATGAAAACCCAGGTGTAAGAACCTACATTTTTTGTAGTCTGGCAAAATAGATTCCTGTATTTTGAGGTAGTTATTGGCAATTTAGGCTAAGTAGGTTCTGATTAGGTTAATTTCTTAACTTCTATGAACGAGATATCGTTGTTAATTAGCAGAAAAATAAATAAACTTAGGTTTGGTCCTTACGTGTAAAATAGTTATTCACAACTGTATTATGATAAGCAAGAGTTCATAATTTAACTGTAACCCACTTATAACAACCTGCTTGATCCTGCTTGGCTAAATTGAAATAGGTCCTTATATTTTTGGGTTTTAAAATGGCAAATTTCTGCCAACAGATTCGTAAACCACTAGGTTCTTACACGCGGATATTTACTGTAATTGTAATGGAGCGAAAGCAGCTTTAAACGATGTATTTAAATACGTTTGTGGCGATTGTAATTTTGCTGTTTTATGAAAGGGAATCTTTCGTAGTTGATGGTTCAATATGCAGAGGCCATATAATGGATGTGCTCGAAGTATCCGTTCCACAACCGAGACCTTTTTGGTTGAGACAATGAGGGAAACTCCAGCATTCCCTCTAATCGAGAAACTGAGTATTTCCGGGGAATTATAACTGCTGGCTGGTTGAAATGAGATATGGTCCTGGAACCACACCGCCAATTGAGTATAAATAAAGCGGGTGAATTCGGTGATTCAGGAATTTTGACAAGAACATTTTCTGGGAAGTAGCAGTTCAGACATTTCTGCTAAGAAAATGAAACGGCAATGCTGATATGAATTAACCAGAAACCGGGAAAACTTCGTTCTTGTCATAATGGTCCCGGATAAATTCTAATAAGTTGCGTGTTTAATCGAGGATGATTTTAAAAGCCATTACAATGTAATCTACAAGCTTGTCAGACTAATTTTTTTTATATAAATTTATGCTTTATAAATCCTGCACATCCACACGTTCCTGAAAACATGAAGCTCGATTCTACCAGGAAAAAGAAGAATAGAGAAAAAGAAAAAAATGAAAAGAAAAGAAAACAAGAATAATGCGTTAGAACTTGGAAAGCTGGGCACGTGACTAGACATTAAGAGTGTCTGCCTGTAAAAATCAGACAAATTCCAGGAGCCATAATCGGGGACGGAGACCGTAAGCGCGCGCCATTTCTAGTATTGGGGTTGTCCCCATGATATGGGACAATAATTCTA